TGCTGTTTGCGTAGGTCATTGTGCTACGAGAATACGATATCATCGTCACACCATCCTACGCAAACGGTCCTACCACTGTATTCTGCAGATTGTAGAGATGTTCTGTACTTCTGAAGTTCTTTATTCATTGAGAAGTTATCGTCAGCTACCAAAGACCATTTCCATAGTAAAAAAAGTTATGGTAATCTCTCGAGAATTTCAGGGAATTGTGAAAAAACCCTTTCTCATAGATGTTATTACTGATTGATTACTTCATGATTACTTGACTGATAAGAATTCTTTTTATTTACCGCTTTTGGTGGTCATATAATGTTATAGATTTACCATGTAATGTTGAGCGATGTGCAAAAAGTAAATAAAGCGATTAAAGAAAAAGGATTCTTGTCGATCACTCGTATCCAACAATATGTGTCAGCATAAATGGGATCAATGCCGATACGGTATGACTGGCCAAACCGTTGGTGGTTGGTTGCTGACGGATTGGTGTGTCTTAAAGTAGGAAGAGTGGTGGCAAAACAGGCGCAGGTAGTGAAATTGGTTATACCCGTTCGGGAACGGGTGAAATGCGAGTTCGAGTCCCGCCTGATGTAAAAGCTGTGCACATCACTCAACCACGTCGGGTTTATGGACACTGTTAATCAAAGATAGAACATATATTATCAACGCCGTTGCACTTCATAGACTGGCCCCAGGCTTTTCAAATTTGATGAGTACTCTTCTGTTGACGGAAAGCTTTTTGTAGACTACTTTCTAGCTGAACAGAGGATTTACACTAGACCGCAGAATTCAAAAGTGTATCTAGCATTCGAAAAAGTCTTCTTACTGCTCGCTCGACCGCTCTTTTGTAGACCCGCTCGAAACATTATAATTTGATAATTATACAACTTGTTTTGAGCCGTTAGGTTTAGTGCTATACAGACTCCTCTACAGAAGAATCGACGCCAAGTAAAAAACAGCGGTAATTCCATCTCTGACTCGATTTTTTTTGCAAAGGATTATTTAGCCTCAGGGGATCGCTTCAACCGAGGGAGGGTGCTACTGATTATTCCCGGTAGGACGAAACAGGAGTCTGTATAGTACTAGACCTAACGGCTCAGAACATGTTATAATCTTCTTATTGCGCTGTAACAGTGAGCCCCTGAGTTAGGGTTCACACTCGACACGCATTATCGCACTAAATTCGTTATTTACTTGGAACATTTTTCTTCGGTTTTAGAGAGAGCTCTGAGCTCCGTGTGCCAGATTTACAGATGAAACTTAATTCCATTGCTCTGTTAATATGATTGTTTCATTCTGAGTTTTATTTCCAAAAATAGTTATCTTATAAACCTCTAAGCCTAAACAGCCCAAGCCTATGCACGAAAGACACATCAACACACAGAAAATCATGTTGTATTAGAATCATGCATCATATCTGAAGTCTTTTCCTGTAGCGAATAATATACGAATTAACTGACAAAAATGCCATGCCTCAGCAGAATCGCACTGCGCGAATGGTCAGTCCCCCTCGAAGGCGATGACTTCGATTGTAAAACGTGATCTTACTGGACTTCAAAAAAGGTTTATGCGAGGCAAACTACGGCAAGAAAAACTACGGCATTAAGGAAAGGTCGTTCTCTTGGTCGCGACATTGCTCTGTAATTGATCTCGGGCAGAATTTGCAAGCTTAGAACAGTCTCATGATTTTTTCCGCCAAAGTCAACCTAAGAATTAATTATTGACAAAAGCTACCTTGTTAGGCAGCAATCTGATCACCTGTCCTAGAGGCATGGCAATAATCCATTGAATTTGAAGGTACTTTTCGCTAGATGACATGGGATAAAAAAGCGATCCCACTCGCAGGACAAAGACTTTCCATTGCATGTTCAGCAGTCTTTCGAAATTTTGCTTTTTATCACATCTTAGCAAAAGGAGAACATTTGTGTTTCGCACGCGCATATTTCTCACAGAACAGAGCTCTTTCCTTAGACTATCAGTAATCATTCGACAGCGTAAGATTCAGCGATTTTAACGCCGTGCTTATGTATAGAAAGAGAGTAACATAAAAAATAAGGTCAAGTTTCACATATTCGGTGCGCTTTTTTACCAGCTAGTCTACAGTCGAAATGCATGGTGGCTGTAGATATTAGATGCGGCGTTTCATTATTGATCGATCGCAACACGTAGGCTCATCACATGCGAAGTGCGAATTTTGTCATTCGACTGGGAATTTCTTCTCCTCTTCGGAAGGAACTCCAAGCAAAACGTATGATTCCAAATACTACGAAATTTCCTCCATACGTTGACATACTTTTTGTTCATCAAAAAAGTAATAGTAGAATTGAGCAGCCAATGTAAAATTAATTTACTTTAGAATTTTACAGCGTTACAAAAGGGCGCCTCCAAAAAACGGCCACGTAGCGCCGTAGCCAGAGATCTGAGCTTTTGACCTATTACCAACACTCTTCTGAAAAGGTTTGCCCAGCAAGTATAATCTTTCTTTATCCCGCGCCGTTTAAGGAAAAAGTACCGATTTGAGTCCATAAAAATGAATTGCTTTACTTTACTTATGCCAGCCAGACTATCATGCATAATTGGCGCTTCGTCTAGGGCTTCGAAAGGTGAAAGATTGAGCGAAGAGCACATGTAAGTTGGTAGAATTTCGTGCTGCGTGAGGCCACGCTTGGCGGATGCATTTTGTGGAAAATCCTTTTTCTGTGCTTGTAGTGAAATGGATAAATACGCACACGAACAGTGTAGTCTGCTGTGAAGGGCTAGTGAAACTATGCAATACTTCTTCAGTCAAAAAAATCGGATTCCATTCCTAATACCACTGAGAGGCTGCTCAGAAATGAAACCAAACTCAGACCAGTAACGAATACAGCATTGTTCGATTGGTTGGTGATCTTTATCAGATCGCTTCAAGTGGCCTTATAAGCTGGAAACAATTTTGCAACAGCTCGACTACTCATTCCAAATAAGCGTCGATAGTAACTATGAGTTTATGATTCACTGTCACTGACCCTGGTGAGCTGAAATGAAATAAAACTTTAGTGTATATAGGGAAATCTTTTAACCATGCTATGGAAGTAGTACCAAAAAAGTTCTAGTTCGTTCTTTACCTCTGCGGAACTCCTATTCTGATGTGCTAAAGCTACGGATCGTAGAAAGGAACGCATCGCAGAAGCGGAGTTGCACAAGACGGGAGCGAGGAGGGTCGACATTGATAAAATCGTCTGGTCTAAAACCAGCAAGTGCTACAGAGCCGTGAAGCGTTTTGAAGAGACTGGAGGGCTGAGGACCACCCTCGAAAAGTCCTCCAAGAACCTCGACTACTTCGGAAAATATCTAGAAGATCCTTGGTCAAGTTCAACGATATCCGTAGCGCTCTATGAGCAAATGGCATGATAAGCTCGGGTTCAGCGAGTGGAGTGTCCGAAAATAACAAAAATAAACTAAAGCTGCGTAGTGACGGGATCACTCGTGTTCACTTTCTGAACAAAAAGATAAGAAAGAAACGGTCTTTAAAGGCTCATCGAATGATTCGTTCCTTACCTGGCGCTCATTTGCCGGAAGTGCTTTTTACAAAAAAAAAATATACATGTCGAACCACCCCACAATGGTCAGAATCGTCAACTTCTCAAAAAAGGTTAGCAGAAGTCCGCAGTAGCAAAAACCATGACCAGCAGTCATGTCGCGGCCTCTGTGATGGTCTTTGGCGGCATTTGCGCCACCGGAAAGACGCCGTTGGTCTCCACCAACAGAAACCTCAAAACTCAACGCTACCAGTTACCAGCAGCAACCTTAGACGGGAGTTAAGTGCACGTTTCATCCATAACGGGGACGCGTGCTACCACTACACCACCAAGGCTACCGCTTACGCGCCACTCATTCTTCAACGTCTCTTTACCATAGATATTCACTAATCTTTAACAGATCTAGCTGACTAAGCAACATTTAACTAGGTTTACAACTAAGCAACATTTAACTAGTCAGCAATACAAAACACTTGGTCATATCCTCTTGTGTTGGGCAGTCAAGATATTCATTTACATATCGATAGAAGAGCAAAGGGCGATGGGTGAGAAGTGGAGCTTCCACCCTAGACATGAAGGCAAAGGTAAGGCTCGGTAGCAGCATTTGATCCATTGATAGCCCTCCCAGTTAAGCGTAATGTCCAGACCATCTAAAGATTGAACAGCTCAGACCTTCCTTCAAAATAATCATGAGCTGTTAAATAAACAAGCCGTAAGTGACCTACTCATTATTTTCTATCAGGAGTTCGTGAATGGCTTGTATGGTGGCATCGATCAAGACGTTTGCACAGATTGCGGTGACATCGAATAACTCCATCGCTTACGTGCGCTTTGCTTACAAACGACACAGATGTGAATGCTGATTAAATTATAACAATTGCTATATTCCGATGCCCGTTTTGTTATTCTACCTATCAGTCCACCTGCACACCTGAAGATCCACTTAATTTGAATGTTAATGGATCGCTCGACGTAATCATTATTGGTGATTTTATGTAATTTGATATGTATGCATAGGAGGGGACACATGGTAAATAAAATAAATGAACGTGTAAATGATCGAAGTAGGCCAACTGTATCTGCCGTTTTGTTCCGTTCTCAATGAAATTTCCGGTAATAATCCCTATATTTCCGTTCAGAAATGGAAATTCAGGGAAACGTATGAGAAGCCTTCCCGATATTTCGGCATAGGAAAGACGTTAAATCACCATAATTTCGCCTATATCGCTGCTACCTAAGTCAATAGTTTTCGTGCTCATCAGCAACTGAATTTGGTGCATACGTTTCTGGTCAAGAGTGAAATTCGGAATGTTTTCCGACAGAATTCAAGTAAACGCAGAATTTTGTTAGGAAATAAACGGAAGTTGAGTCAACCTGCCATCAGAATTTTTTCATGTCAAGACCATTAGTGAGAATGGAAGTGATGGTAATGTCTCTTCATTGTTACTTATATAACTAAGAGAATTGAGTGGTGAGCTAAAACAAGACCTCAAACAGGAATTAAACCCGCGTTCAATCCTATCCGGGGACGCGTGCTCTACCACTACACCACAGAGGCACATTGGCTTGACCACTTATTCTTCAACATTTCTACGTTAGCTATCGGCCTCGGTGGTGTAGTGGTAGAGCACGCGTCCCCGGATAGGGACGAAACGCGGGTTCGATTCCCGTCTGAGGCCGTGTTTTGCTCACCACTCAGTTCTTTGAGTTTTATAAGTAACACCATAACACTGCGAAAAAAGCAGTAGAAATACTATAATTTCTCGTCATTGCCTCAATACGACCTTTCTCAATTCGTTGCATAACGGAGTTGATTCCGAAATTTCGTGCAAACTATGTGCTATTTTGCGCAAGGTTGTTTTACAAATGGCTGAGTGGTTGAACAGGTGGTAGACCTATAACGGGATCTTATACATATTACACACTCTTTGGAGGTGGTAGTGCAGGAAAGCGTGCGCGGCGCAGTGGTTAAAAGTGCTTCGCGATGCACACGTAGTCGGTCCTTCGATGAATATTGGCTCGTTCCCGCGCACACGACCAAGTTTGTCTAAGACAGTAGCAGCACTGACTTGGTACATCGTTGGACCATCACGAGTCATTGTGGAATCAGTGCCGAGTGCTGCATCCTTTATTCTTCCAATGTCTCAACGCGATCACTTCAGTGCCAGTGTTTTGAGCTGATTCCCTAGAGTAGTTTGTCCTCGTTCTGGTGTTCGTCTTCGTCGTCGATTGAGTCGTATCTTCCTCGATGAGGAACCTTTAAAATGAAGAACCATCCTGCATTTGTAGGCATCGTTGAAGAGAGGCTATATTTGAAGCAGAAAGGTGGGACGACATATGACTGTGGAGAGCATCACCTCGAATCAGTGGGTTCTGCAGAAGACGAAACGCTTCGAAACGTGTGCCGAATCAATTCGCTTTATAATTACTTCGGTGGCGTTGGCTTAGCCAACAAAGAAGATAGAACTAATCGGGTTCCAAACAAGGCGAAAAACCAACTGCTGCACCTCTGTAAATATTATACCGTTTGTTTTGAGTGTTTTCTAAAGGGTATGCTCAAATTTCAATATATCTCCTAATTATTGTTTGAGCCAGATGTCATGTAATCTGTTAATGGGCTCTTGCACAGCCTGATATACGTGTTTCAGCCTTGTTGTCTCGTCAGTCGGGCAGAACCCTTCGTCTTTTAGCCAGTCCTTTCGGTTTCCCTCATGCACCTATGAAAGAGTGGGCTTCGACGAACGATTACGTCAAATGAAACAAAAGTACAACACTGCCGATATAGGAACGATTACACGTGGCATCAAATGAAACAAAAGTACAACACTGCTGATCATAGTGATTTGTTTTACTTGACGGCACGTGCAAGTCGTCTGTATTCGCTTACTCTTTGATAGGGAGATGTGGGGCCCCCTAGTGGATTGGCAAAAGAGTGAAGGGACTGCCCAACTGACGATGCTGCAAGGCCGAAACACACGTATCGGGCTGTACAAGATATCATAAACAGACCACATGATATCTGGCTCAAGTAATAATCATTAGATATACTTCTGTAGATGATTTTTCATCATTTCTGATAAGTAAAGGCATCTATATTCGAATTATGGGGATCATACTAAGTTCATTAGGAGCAGATTTTATTGTACGCGCAACATTTATTAACATAGTCCTTTCACTATTCGTTAGCTTCTCGTTTGGCCGCTTACGTTGATAAGAGATCCCGTAATCCCACATTGTCATGAATATTTTCAAAAAAATTTCGATTCAAATAGATTATCTAACTCAATTCTCCTCAGTTAGAGGGATTTGGCAATTGGAAATTCTTCAATAATGAAGGACGATATTCTAGTGTAGTTGAGGATGATTACTGTCAAGAATAGTGATTTGGTCACTCACGAAATCGTTGAAGTATTTCACATATCCATTCAGTTAGAATTTATATTAATATTTCTAGCATATTCGATTCAAGACTGTTATAGATATTATTCAAAAAGACAAGCGTTTATTAAGGATCACTTTAGCAGACTGTATTTGCTAAAAGTCTTCGTCAATCACCACGATTTCTTCGATAGTTTTTGAAAAACTCAGCTCTCATAATTTTTTTTTGAAAACTTTTCTATACGAGAAGTATATTTATGAGAACGTGAAAGATACAATGAGTTCATAAAAGATAATCTCAGTAGAAATGTTTCAGCACGTTCTTCTTCTTCGCTACTTTATTCTTGCACGTTGTCTTCTTTCCTGAAACAAAGAATGTCCTTATCGATCAGTTCGCAGGTTTCTCTACTAGTCCGGTTACCTTTGGTGTTACATCCATCAAAATCAGCTACTGAACGATAAAATTCTGCCCAGAGAGCTTTGTTTCTAATGCATGCGGCACCACCGCCACGTTTGAATTGCGACTTCTGGAAATTTGGCGGATGTGACAATGGTAGCGCTAATTAAGGCGTATGGATGGTTTAGACTTACTGATTAGTCTAAGCAAACTGAAGCAAGAGCACTGAGAAATTGCAGCGTTTACCTGTCTGTTAATATCACCAATGCATACAAACGGCGTTGATTCGTTCATCGATACACCCCATTTAGAATGATCATTATTGTTGCAAAATTTTACTGAAGGTAGCTGAACTTCGGTAATGTCATATACCTAAAACTGACGGCATAGCTGCAGACAGTAGTAAGATACTCAAACACCCCGATACTCCAAAAAAGAACTGACATGTTCGGCGCCATCACATTGTGTTCCGAGATCCTCTGCAGCTCCATTTCTCCACGTTTCCACGCTAAGAGATGTTCTGAGACTGGGCGCAATCAAGCCATACCAAAGATCTACAAATTATTACTTGTTCCACGAAAAGTGAAACGCCACCAAGGTAAGGAAAAAACCTTTTTTGAATTTCTTATGCTTTGAGAAGATCGTAACGTTCGTTCCATTATGTGTATGAATGGTTTGAAAGTAGGTGAACTGAGTATCCGATGTACTAAGAGATATCCTGTCAGTGATGTCCTTGAAGAATGGTGCCCTAGAGAAAATACACTGTCTGAAGTGACAAGCTTCTGTCAGCTGACATTGAAGAAATCAAAATTCTTACAATAACTTGATCCACTTTGGTAAATATTTGATGTAAGGAGTCACTTGAGCGTATCGCATATACTGAATAATTGCTAGAAGTGCGTCAGCGTCGATTGAGATACATAAAATTGGACTGCCCAAATTTGGTGCCACTTTTCGGATAGTCATATTTTTCTGTTAATAGCTTCTTTCACTCCGATTTATAAGGCCATAATCTTTTAGTTTATGAATATTCTTCCGAAAATGTTAAAAAATGATAGAATGAAGTGAAGAAAGAAGAACAAAGTGTGAAGATTTAGCAGTAAAAAAGAAGTATCAGAAAGAATTACTGAATGGAGGAAAGTTTGGTACGCTATGTATGAGCCAAAATCCTCCTTCGCTATGTTGCCACAACTACACCCTTACTGTGACCACGACCACTATTCGCTTTGTGTGTACCTGGCCAATCATCGTTGTAAGCGATTTTCAATATATCCTAAAATTACAAATTCGCAAAGGTCTAAAAACATCAGCTTTATTTATACTCGATTGATATTACTTTGCCTCTCATATACAGTTGTGCAAGCGTTGCTCCTACAGCGGATAAATTGCTGTTGATGGGTTTCGGGCTCAGTTTCCATTGAGTCTGAGACGAATCCAAGTAAAAAAAGCCATATCCTTTGAACACGTCGACATTTGCGGGCATTTTGATGGCAGAGTACCTTGACAAAACATCACTTTGAGACAGGAACAATCGAGATTCTTTTTTTTCCAAGCTTAAAAATTTTGTTATAATCACGGCTTCTGCCTGATTTGATACAGTGCCAATTTGTGCTCTCCGAATCTATCATTTAGGTAGATATTTGCTGATGACACTCGATTCACTTAAAGCAGAGCTGGCAGACATGCAGAGTAACGGCCTTGATGGAGTAATGAGTGGCAAGTAAGCTCACGGGAAGGGGTACTCGCAACTCGTAACTATCGTTAATTTCAAGTCTTACTCGTACCTCAGCATTTATGTGGGTACATTTCACATAATTACCTGCTATAAAAGACGAGTTAGAAGTATATAAATACAAACAATCGCAGTTTTTGTAGTGAAATATCTGTGTCCACGTTTTCGTTGCAATTAATTGCTATAGGAATGGATGTATATTTTTTCATTCATGAAAAAGAGAAAAACTGCTCGATTTTCCTTGAATAAACGCTCTTTCCTTCAATCTACACCAACTTTATCTAAATCCTTTTACAGCAGTGTTGTGGTGTTGTAATCACATGTCCAAAAGCTCAGTGATAAAACAAAACTTGAATCTCCGCGCGTTCAACCCGCGCCTCGGTAGGAGTGTTTTGTTATACTCAGATGAATGTAACTCACCAATCCACATCTTGTCCGTTCATATCTCGGCAGCTTATCCTTGCATTGACGTAGATGCACATAGTGATAATCGTCAAGCTGAGATGCCACCATGCGTTAAGGATATCGGTTTGACAGTGCATTAAAGTTGTCTCTGGAGTAAAACCACTATGCAAAAAGTGCTACCTTGAATATTTGTTAAGCTTTTTATGACATTCCAAAATCTTCCGCAAAAACTAAATCATATATGCGTTCATATTCAGCGCCAATAATCGATTAAATTTTGAATTAGTGTATAATTCAAGCTGTACGAGCAAGCGTTTTCCGGTGAGTGAAATGCAAAAAACCTTCTAGCGAAAGAAATACGAATGTTGAGCACACACATGAAAAAGGAGCATTTGAGTTCTTGTTGTTTGAACATCCTTATTATATAAACAGTTATTTTAATTTCTCTGGGCCCAAGGGGAAGGCGGTATGAAAGATTGTTTGTAACTCCACAATGGTTCTGTGGGATTCGTCCGTGCATTCATCGTTTTCGTTTCCCTCAGATTGAATCGCTTTTTCTTGATAAATTATCGAGTATTTTAGACTTTGCTATAATATGTGCGATATGAACACCTCTTGGATAGCTAATTATTAGTAGTTAACGGTT